CTAAAAGACTGTTTAATGGGGCGCGTAGACGATGAAGGTCAGGGATAAAAGCTCCATAATGACTAACGAGCCCCAGAAAGGATCGAAGTGTGGAAACATCTGTCGGTCTCGGCATTTCTTTCAAAGCTTGAGTGTTTTCTGGGTCTGGTTTTCTCCCGTCTTTATCGATAATAAAACCGAGGTAGCGTACACTCTGCATGAAAAAGTCGCATTTTTCCACACGAAGCCGGAATCCATATTCAGCTATTCTTGATAGCACCTGGTCGAGCTTCTTTTCTAAGTCTATTCTATCAACGCCCATAATTATTATGTCATCCAGGTAAGCTGCAACGCCAGGGAGATCATGTAGCATAGTATCCATCACCTGTTGAAATATGGAGGGCGCGGTTTTGACTCCAAAAGGTAACCGACTATATCAGAATAGGCCCTTATGTGTGTTAATAGTAAGCAGATCTTTACTTTCATCAGCGACAGGAATCTGTAAATAAGCTTCCGATAAATCCAGTTTTGCAAACACCTTGCCTCCATTTAGCTTAGCGAAAAGATCCTCAGGTATAGGCAAGGGATACTGGTGGGGTTCTAGAGCATCATTCAGTCCCGTAGAGTAATCAGCACATAGATGGACACTTCTGTTTGACTTCTTGACCACCACAATCGGTGCAGCCCATTTGGAGAAACTTACAGGTTCAATAACACCCACTTTTTGAAGTCGTTCCAGTTCCTGTTCAACTACTGGGAGAGAAGCATAAGGTACAGGTCTTTTTGGTCGAAAAACAGGAATAGCTGTTGACTTGAGAGTCAGTAGTGCTTTGGCTTTGGTACATTCGCCTAACGCTTCCGAAAATACTTCATGATGCCTTTTTATAATGGCATTTCTCAGATTTGACTCTAAAGGGTTATTGATTCTAACTCGGCTGCAGATGTTGTTGATAGAATGGTCTGTTAATTTTAATGCATCTATGAGATCCAACCCCAATAAATCGAGGTCTGGGTTTTTAGTTAAGTATACAGTTGCACTCGTTGTTGCCTCATTTTTTGAAACAGTGCACAATATTTCTCCAACAATATTTAACTTACCACCAGATGCGCTGTGTGCTAGTTGCTTCGTTTGGTGAACTGTAGGTCTTCCAATTTTCTCCCAAGTTTTTGGACTGATAAGGGTGATATCAGATGCTGTGTCAAGTTGAAGACGGATACGGTGTGAATTCATATCCAAAGTCACATACTTTCTTCTGTGGTGAATTCCTGTCTGGTTATGAGACACCAATACATTGTTTGTCTTACCAGATCTGTATTTTTTAGAATAGACTTTTGCGGAGTAATGTCTGCGAGTTTTTTTTCTACATCGAGATTCTTTGTGACCCTTTTTGTGACATTTAGTGCAAACATAATCTTTGTATGGACAAAACTTCTTGTAGTGCCAACCTCCACATGACCAGCATGAAGATGAGGGCTGGTTGTCTGTGCTCTTGTGATGCTTTTGTGAGCCGGAATTTTTCTTTTCACTAACGGCATGCACGTATGATGGACGGCCATTGTTTTCGACCATGGAGGTATCATGCTTCAAATTTACTAATCTCTGGCACTCTGCAGTTATTTCTTGAAGCGAGATGTTTGGGCACTGCTCAATTTTACTTAAGATTCTGGTTCTTATATCAGCATCTTCGGGAGATTGTAAGCTGCACACAAACACAAGGCACTTAAACTGATCTTCCGTCATTGATGATAATTTAAATCGTTCGCATTCACGATTTACTAAGCCGGCGTGCTTTACCCAGTCATCTTCACTTGACTTTGTTATTTTGAGGCATCGGTAACGAATATTGAAGCGAGATGACTGTTCAGAGAAGATTTGCGACAGCGTTTCAATTGTAGCATCAAAAGAGAAATCTCGTGGGTTCTTTGGGAGGATGAAATTACTATAACGTTCGTGTTCGATTGTGCCGAGCTTTCTCAAGAGGATTCTGACTTTGGTGGCGTCATCAAGATTGTTGAGGTCGACCTTGAACAAATCCTCATACTTCTTGAACCAAGACTCGAAAGTCACACCAGCAAGGCCATCAAAATGAAATTCATGAATGGAATTAACTATCGAGTCTGCATGTGGATTATATGAGTCGTCGGTAAGACCTCTGTGATTCAAATTCATTTGTTTCATAAACAACTCCAACATACGTTCCTGGAACTGTTCATATCGTTTTCCTTGACGTTCCAGTAAAGATTCTATCTGTTCAAGGGTAATTGGCATTGTGGGTTGAACACTCCGTCGCCACTTTTATGTTTTCTGCTTGATGTAACGCCAAACCACTGTATTAATGACCCCCGAACGTTAGACTCCCACCGTTCAAAAATAAGAAGACGGAAGACGTTGGAGAACACTTATTAACAGAATCAAAAATATACAATCAAACATGCGTATTTATACAATTATACATATAATCGATATTGTCGTTTAAATATTTGAATATTAAATCCAATAGTTCATCGATCGACTGCTCTTGAAATATTTAAGCATTTAATCGATAAGTTCATCAATCCACAATGTGCATGGCTTTCTTCTCGATTGGCTATCCCAACAGTGGGGACGGCAGATCAATTGATGAAGTATTGAAGTATTGAAGTGTACCAAAGACGTACATTAACCTTATACAAGCTCTTTACTCGAACACCACTGGTCGAGTGAGGGCTTATGGCGAACTGTCACCGGAATTCTCTACGTCAAGTGGTGTCCGTCAGGGATGTCCACTTTCTCCATTCTTGTTTAATTTTATCATAGACATGCTCCTAGACATAGCATTATCCTCGTCTGAATTTTCAGGAGTAGACCTTTTACCAGGTGGCTCGCTTATTGACTTAGAATATGCCGATGACATTGTCCTACTTGGTGAAGATGCTGACAAAATGTAGAGTCTTCTGACTACCCTAAGCAACAATGCAAGCATGTTCGGGATGCGGTTTTCCCGCTCGAAATGCAAAATGTTGCTTCAAGACTGGGTTTCATCGGCACCTGAACTAGTGATAGGGAGTGAAGTAGTCGAGCGTGTAGACCGCTTCACTTATTTGGGGAGTCTCATCAGTGCCGATGGCCTGGTAACTGACGAAATCTCAGCTCGGATACAGAAGGCTCGATTGGCTTTTGCCAACCTGCGTCACTTATGGCGTAGGCGTGATATCCGTTCTCTAATCAAAGGACGAGTGTACTGTGCAGCAGTTTGCTCCGTTCTCCTATATGGCTGTGAAACATGGCCACTGAGAGTAGAAGATATTCGTAGGTTGCTGGTTTTCGATCATAGGTGTCTTCGAAGCATTGCTCGTATATCCTGGGACAACCGAGTGAGCAATGCTGTCGTTAGGAAACGAGTACTAGGTAAGGATGGGAGAGCAATAGATGAAGTGGTGAAACTTCATCAGTTGAGTATGTGTTACGTATGCCGAACCACCGACTGCCTCGACGAACTTTGTTTTGTGGTGTAGGAGTAGGTTGGAAGAAAGTTAAGGGCGGCCAAACCAAAACATGGCAGAAATCCATGAAGTCATGGACGAGTGGACTTAGCCATGTCGGTAATTGTCGACTACCTGGTTGGGGTCCGCGAGATGATAATAATCGATGGTTAGAGACCTTGAATGACATGGCTCAAAATCGTTCGCAATGGCGCCGGTGCATTTATTCTCTGTGTTCTCTCAAATCCTAATCTTCTGGATCCTTCAACACCTTTAGTTTCGACTCTCTAAATTTTTCTCACTGAATCATACTTCTTGAATAGTATCTTCTAATCCTAACCTCTCCGATTACTCCTAATACCGTTACTACCTCTTCTACTATTGGATTTGAATTGACGATTACTTCTCTGTGCTGATGTGGTATGGCAACATGAACTGATGTACTTATGTACAAAGTTCTACGTTGCATCTGACTGACTGACTGACTGAGGTGGTTAGGACATGTGTTACGAATGCCAAACCACCAACTGCCTCGATGAGCTATGTATTGATGTGTAGGAATAGGTTTGTAGAAAGCTAGAGGCAGCCAAACGTAAACATGGCAGACATCCATGAAGTCACTGACAAGTGGACTGAGTCATGCTGGTAGATGTAGGCTACCTGGTTGTGGTCCGCGAGATGAGAGTCACCGATTGTTAGAGACCTTAAACTGCATGGCTCAAAATCGCTTACAATGTCTCACGTGCCTCCACTTGTTGTGTTCTACGAAATTCTAATCTTCTGAATTCGTCATCACCTCTACCTTTCTCTTTCTAAACTTATCTCACTGAATTAGACTTCTTGAATAATATCTTGGAACCCTAATTTTCTGCATTACGAGTACTACTTCTACTATCGTTACCACTATGGGATTAGAACTGAAAGTGGCATCTCTGTTCTAATGTGGTGTGGCAACCTGAAGTGACGTGCGTACGTACGAAGTTCTACGTTGTAGCTGGCTGGCTGATATTGTTCTTCTGAACAACATCGTCATCTTGTCCTATTTATTGAGGTCGGCACGGTAAGCTACAAATCATACTTTGAGGAATTCAAATATTCTACCTCTGTCCGAGGTTTGTGCTGATGATGTTTTTCAGAAGAATCACCATAGCCAAAACATCAAGCAGAATTCAGACGTCCATTGTTTTAGTGCAACGTTATTTCGTGTTTAAAATTTTAATAATTTCTTTATTTATGTACTTCCTACTTACTAATCAGCAAAGTAGTTTAATATAGTTTCAAATAATTCATAAAAAATGAATCGATGTTTTGTTTTGTCCACTGCAGATAGATAAGCATAGAAAATGGAAATATTTACAGAGTGCATGATTTTAAGTTATTTACTGAACTGCGAATATGAAGTGAATTCTAGGCCTTCCGTAGTGGTTTTAATAAAAATTGATGAATGACTTTCGATACAAAAGGTTACAAATTAAGACATTTATCTATGATCACTATTATTCGACGTAATTCATATTCACTCTTTACTTTTCCTTATTTTTATTTTTGTTCTGAACAAGTTGTTACGTGTGCACAAGCAAAAAATTTAATTGATGCTGGTGTGGATGGATTACGCGTTGGAATGGGTAGTGGATCAATTTGTATTACTCAAGAAGTGACTGCTGTTGGTCGATCACAGGCTAAAGCTGTTTATAAGGTAGATACAACTCAAATGAAATATAAACGGCTGCTAAATAAATTTAGACTGATAATAACCAATCAAGTAGCCTAAAAAGAATGAACTTACAGCGAAGAAAATAGGTTGTACTCTAGGGGTTATTGCAGAATGTATGCCAATTCAAGAGATATAATTAAGTTGATACAGAAGGCGACATTATATGTACAAAAGAGAGATTTTTGAGAGGATATTTGTAAAATGGATTTTTATAACTTAGTTACTGGGACATTGTACAGAAGTGTATGTAGCATATTCAGCGAAAAAAACCCCAGTGCCATTTTAAAGGTTTTATGACCCACTCATTTAGACGGATTTTATTCAAATTAATAAAATTGACCATTATTGGAGTAGGTGTAAAATATTTTCAAGAAGGTATGTTTAATAAGTATGTTCAATACAAACGATGAGGTGGTTTGTATGCTTTTACTCTGCCTAAGTTGTTTGTATATACAGCTTTCAAGACATTAATATTCATTTCAGGATTATCCTCCTTCAATAGAAAATCCTAGAGAGCAATCCTGTCCAATGAATCAAACGCATGAGTGATATCAAATGGAGCAGCAGCAGAACCATTTCAGCGGTAGCTAAAATCAATATCATTCCAGGCTTGAAATGCTGAGGGAGGACGTCAGACATCACACTGTTAATGGCCGGGACAGTAGTTAGCGTTAGCCAGAAACAGGTTGCATTATATAATCGCTGTTATCTTACCTGCGACCAACAAGTTCATATCGACCGCCCAAACGCCTTTCTTTTGTGCCTAGATTGTAGGAAGTAATTGCCTACAAATGTAATTCTAAACTAACTCCTAGGTTATCGAACCCTGAGTCTTAGCTTAACCAAAGGCATAACAAGTGAGCTATTGGGCTTCACAAACTTTATCTGTTTCTGAAACGTAAATTAACACTGTTAGTTTACAAAAGCAGAAATTAATAGTTTAGAAGAGGAAATAGGGTCTCGTAAAAAATATACGAAACAGTAACTGAAGGACAGAATTGTTTATGAAAAATATGAACGACTATAATTGGCGAATGAATAAGATATACTCATACAAGATCAAAGAGAGCCAAGGTGGTCTCTCCCCGAGCTTTTGACTTTGAGATCTAATCCACAAGGCTATGGAGCAACGCTCAAAGGTATGGTCTCATGTTAGCCGATATCCAAGAATAGGTTTATTGGTCATTTGTACACTAAAGATACTGGAGCGTTTATGGACCTCGCAATCAGTGTTGGCCCATCAGGCAATTCAAAAACGACAAAGCAGCGGGACCAGACAACATTCCATCAGAGGCAATGAAAACAGACGTAACAGAAACTGTAAGAATATTTGGCAGGAAGAATAAGTTCCATCAGACTGGAAAGGAGGATACCTCACCAAAATACTAAAGAAACACTATCTCAGCAAGTGTGAGAACTACAAAGGAATCACTCTTCTCTCAATATCAGGCAAAGTCTTCCACAGGGTGTTATTAAACAGAATGAAGGACTTCGTAGACGCGCAACTTCGAGATCAACAGGCTGGATTTCGTAAGGATCGATCATGTACCGATCGGACTGTAGCATCACTGATCATTGTGGAACAATCACTTCAATGGATTTCGCCACTCTATATCAACTTCATTGCCTACGAGAAAGCATTCCATAGTGTGTATAGGAAAACACTGTGGAGGCTTCTTCGACACTACGGTGTGCCTGAGAAGATAGTCAACATCACACAGAATTCTTAGGATGGATTAAACTGTAAAGTCGTGCACGGTGTACAGCTGACAGACTCGTTTGAGGTGAAGACCGGTGTGAGGCAAGGTTGCTTACTCTCACCCTTTCTCCTTCCCCTGGTGGTTGACTGTGATGTGAAGGCGTCAACATCTGGAGGGATGCACGGTACACAATAGACAGCCAGGATACAGCTGGACGATCTGGACTTCGTAGATGACCTAGCTATTCTATCGCACACGCAACTACAAATGCAAGAAAAGACGACCAGTGTAGTGGCAACCTGAGCAGCATATCTCAGCATACATAAAGCAAGGTTCTGCGGTACAATGAAACATGCGCCAGCCAAGTCGCCATTGATAGGGATTCTTGGATGACGTAAAAGCCTTTACATATTTTGGCAGCATCATTGACGACCAAGGTGGATCTGATGCCGATATGAATGCGCGGATGAGCAAAGCAAGGTCTTCATTTCTACATCTGAACAACATCTGGAACGCAAAACAACTGTCAACAAACACCAAAGTTAGAAGTTCCAATACAAATGTCAATACAGTTCTAGTGAATTGGGCAGAAACTTGGAAAACTACTGAAGCCAGGATCCACATGGTACAAGTATTTATTCACAGTTGTCGACGCAAAATATTCTAGATCCGTTGGCCAGACACTATCAGCAACAACTTACTATGGGAGAGAACAAACTAGATTCCAGCGGAAGAGAAAATCAGGAAGAAGCGCTTCAGGTGGATAAGACACATTGAGGAGAGCACCTAACTGCATCATAGGACAAACCCTCACTTGTAACCCTCAACGCCAAAGGAAAATTGGAAAACTAAGGAACACATTAAGATGATTAATGGAGACAGATAAAAAAATAGCAAACAAAAATTGGACTGAACTGGATAGGAAGGCCCAGAACAGATTAGGTTGGGGAATGTTGGTCGGCGACCTATGCTTCTTATGGAGTAACAGGCGAAAGTATATAAGTCAAATATACTGGTGCTTGTGTACATCACTGATTTGGAGTCGGCATTTTCCATGTCCTTCACAGGGTCCCTCCAGTTTGAACACTTTATAGGCGTGTCCTTGTGGAAGCATATCTAGAGAAAATAAGGACTTGCCCTACCTTAGGCTGTTTGAGGGTATTCACCTCAAGTGGCTGAATGTAATCATTATTCTTTCAAAAAATATACTTCTTAATAACTTAGGCATTCAAGTCTCTAATATTAGGCCAAAATCCAACCCCTCTATTTTGATATATCTAATCGAATAAGAATAGTTGTGAAATAAAGACTCATGCACTGATAGTAATGCTATTTTTTAAATTTTAAACATTCTTCATAATCCATTTGTGAATGTAAGACATTTACAAAAAGATAATTTAAACTGGATTAACGTTTATGAAATAAAAAACACTGTAGATTATGATATCTTCATAATTTCTCAGGTATCTGAATATGCTCATAAGTATGATATACCCGTAATAGCAGATGGAGGGATTCAAAATGCCGGTCATATTGTTAAAGCGTTGAGTTTTGGTGCATCTTCAGTTATGATGGGTGGACTTTTGGCTGGTACAACTGAGTCAGCTGGAGAATATATATTTTCTGATGGTGTGAAATTGAAAAAATATCGAGGTAATGTATACTCTTAAGGTGAAGTGTTTAAAAATTACTTATTTAATATGTGTTAATCATATATATGATAAAAAACTATGCAAAGATTCCAGTAATGTCCACGTTGATCAATTTGTTTGTTTTTTCATCTATTTTACCAATAAAGTCAACTTTTTATGCAACTTGAAATGAAAAACCCATGTACTTATGTTTTGTTTGTCACTTTTGTAGTTCTGCAGATAGTTTTCTGGGTAATTAATCATTATAAATAGAAATATCCTAACGTCTACTTGTGACTACTATTGTTATCCTTTCGATTAAGTTATTGATAACTTTTGACATTAATTTTAAAATATTTTTCTCATAGGTATGGGTAGTCTAGAAGCAATGTCTCAGCATTCTGAAAGTCAAGCTAGATATTATAGTGAATCAGATCGTATTAAAGTTGCCCAAGGTGTTTCTGGGACTATTGTTGACAGAGGTTCAGTTCACCAGTTGGTTCCTTATTTGGTAGCTGGTGTTAAACATGGATTACAACAAATTGGTGCTAGAAATATAACAGAACTACACAATATGTCAAGAAGTGGAAAGTTACGCTTTGAGCATAGAAGTTCATCAGCTCAACTTGAAGGTGGTGTACACAGTTTATATTCGTAAGTCTCATTAAATATGTTTCACTGTCGTCACTTTATGCTGTGTTTGTTATGATCATTCGATTGAGGACATTCAACTTTTGAAATATCGTCTGTAACACTCGGTACGGTGTATTTCACTTCACTTCAGTATAGCGATATCTTATCTCAGTATGTTGAAATGTATATACATAACTATATCATGAAGTTTGACATTTAGGATATCATCAGTTGATTTCTATCAATTTGAATCTCTCTAAACGTATCCAGGAGTTTTACATGAGATTTGATGGTGTGATTAAATGAATCAATTAAATGTTTCAAAATTTTTGAAATTTCCTTTGATGAGTTGTATGTTGGGATTATCGTAAGGGATATAATTGGACGTAGTGGAATGTTGGATTTGTTCAGTTTCGGTCTACCGTAAAAACGTAGGATAAGTGGTCCATTGGATTTCATTTTCGGTTGATATTTACCCTGCTTTGACAAGCTTTTTTAAAGCCCATGAGATTTGGTTGTTTAATCTTTTGATCGTAGTTATGTCCATTGGTTTATATACTTCGCTAACATTCTAACTTTTTATGTCTAGTATTATATCATGTATGGGTCTTTGGTTAGCATAATATCAAATATAGTTATGCTTTGGTTTTCAAACACATGGGATACACTGAATAGATACAGTGAAGTCTCACTTAGTCTCAAAACTATATATAACAAATCGATCATAAGCGTCAGCGTGCTTTATTGGGTGACTAAATTATTTACTTATCCTTAGATTTCCCACTTGATGAAGTCGTAGTCATGTTGTTTAATTTCTGAATACATGTTTTTTGTAAGCATGTTTATCAAGTCTTAAAACTTCACAAGTATGTTGGTCCATTCTAACTTACTAGTAGAATCTTTAAAATACTCGATTTGTTTAGCATATCGTGATTCATATGGTTTATATTTTTGTCCTATAATGGCACATCATCATCATTAACAGCAATGTAGAACTTTGTGTGTAAGTACATCAGTTCAAGTTGCCATACCGCATTAGCATAGAGATATAATTGTCAATTCAAATCCCATAGTAGTAGAGGTAGTGAAAGTATTAACAGTAATCGGGGAGATTAGGGTTTGAAGATATAATTCAACAAGTACAATCCAATGAAATGAACTTAAAAAGAAAAAGATAAAGGTGATGAGGAATTCAAAAAGTTAGGACTCGAGAGAACACAAAGAATGAATGCACCTGCGCCATTGCAAACGGTTTGAGCCGTGTCATTTAGGGTCTCTAACCATCGGTTCCTATCATCTCGCGGACCCCAACCAGGTAGTCGATACCTACCAATGTGACTGGATCCACTTGTCAGTGACTTCATGGATTGCTGCCATGTTTTGGTCTGGCCGCCTTTAGCTTTCTACCAACCTATTCCTACATGGCAAAATATAGCTCGAAGAGGCAGTCAGTGTTTAGGCACACGCGACACATGTCCCAACCACCTCAACTGATGAAGTTTCAATACTTCATCTATTGGTGTAATCACTCCTTGAAATAGGATTTAAATCGGATTTAATACTTAACCATGTCTATGTCTAAAGTTTATATTTACATTAGTTTGAAGCGATCAATGCGGTTTTCATTATTTCTATTCCACAATATCATTGATTGATCTAAATTGTTTTATCCAAAAAGATGCTATATATTGTAGCTATTTAGGAAACAATTAACGAAATACAAATATTCTTTTATGATATTTATCACCTATATTATCTCAATAATTTCATAGAAATGCATTTTCCTCTAATGATTATCCATTTTGTTTTATCTTGACTGTTGAATATTTTTCTGTCATTTCTTCTTTATTCTAGGTACAATAAAAATCCTTATTAATAATTCACTAACAATAAATATTTCACTCGTCAAGTATTATTCCTGTTTTTTTTACAATCGAACTATTTTTTTCTAAAAATATATTCTACTGTCTTTTTGGTAAGTCCTTCATAGCTTGCAATATTGTTTCTCCTAAATGTAATAATGTGTGATTGTTACCTAAGCGATGCTTTTTCTTCTTATTTTTATTATCTAATATGAATGAAGTTCAATTGTAAATGTATTTTCGTTAGAGTATAAATTCAATGGACAATTGTACTAATTTTGGTTTCATGCATATTTCTATTGAATTATTTTGATCAGTTTCTGATTGTTTTGCTTTTGATGATCTGTAATTTGAAATGGATTAAAAAAAAGTGCTACTTCATGAATTAATCGTTTTCACTTCTCTATAAAATGTATATTGCCAACTTGGATTTAATAATATCTTTATCAAGATAGTTTTTGTTCGAAGTAAGGAAAAAAGTTTTTTTTTTAAGTAACAATCAGCTAAATGTATTCACATAATAGTAGTGACCTAGGGATTTGTTAATCTTTGGACTTTGAAAAGGTCGTTATATTGAATATATTATACTTTGAGGAAAAACCAGTCATTCTTTTATTCGCTTTATAATATTGGAAAGTGCATTTAGCTGTCAATGTTTAAAAGTTAATTGTAAAAAGATACTTTAATTTAACAGATTTTTCTATGATTCAGAATTAAAATGATGATGGGTTATGTTACAAAATTGCACTTTTCTTCAAAACAATTTGTACGTGTAGTTTTTTGTTTCAAAATGACTAAAAATAGAAATTACAAAAGAATATTATGAATTCATATCATTATTGGAAATTTCGATAGTTAATTGAGATTTTAATTAAACTAAAAATAAAAACAATACCGTTTGAATTGAATGTTTGTTTTCATATGAAAATCAACAACTTGGAATGATAGTATGTGGGCTATCAACAAATTTGTCTACATAAATAATGCATAATCGGTAAAGCATGAAAATACGGTGAAATAAAAATATCCATCGGTTCAAAGCTCATCAGATGATTAATCTAATGGCTATTAACAGATTTTCTTCAATTTTAAAGTTTAGTGAAGAAAAATGCGTAGATTAAAATCTCATAGAAAGTTTAAGAAACATTAATTGAAAGAATGCGAATAGAATTTCCAATCATCAAACGAGGACTTATTCAACCATTGTTAAAGTCAAATTAGAATTATTCCTTCAGAGAAAGCTAATCAATAAATTTGTAATATCCGTATTGTTGATTGTTTTTTGATAGATTTTTGCAGGTGAGGTTAGTCTAAGATATAAAATAATTCAGTGATATTTCCATTAGTATAAAGCCTATTTTTCAGGCATCAATATTTGGTAGGATATTTAAAATGAATAGAAGTTTACTCTGGATAATTATAGTAATAAAATGTTTCATTGAAAAGATTACGTTATATGAACAAATTATTAAGTAGAGTTTTAACATCCTAATAAACTTTATACAGGATGCAATGAAGCTGAGTAGTATAATGACTTCTGAATACATGTCACGACCATTGTCAATGTGTTCAAGCTGTATTTTGTAAATGGAGTATCATTGGTTCAGCTAAAACAGTGTGTTGCCTGAAAACACAGCTTTTCTGTGCAAACTTATTTTCTTTCATCTGTTTTTAAAGACTGTATTACTTGAGTGCATAGCAGAGAACTTCGTACTATAGCATAGGTCATCAGTATCAATAGAGGGTGTGGTTTTAAATTTTATTATTTCAAAAATTAGATATTCTTCAAAAGGAACGATAAATTCAAATTAGGTAAGCCTGCTAAATGAACGCTTGATCTGGTTTTGCTAGCCGCTTCTAATAACTGTATATTAAATCTACACAGAAACGGTTCACAGTCAAAGAAAGTGGCCATATGGGTTTCCTTGATCTAATCAAAAATAATTTAGAAATACATCACTTTTTTATGATTCATTTACTATTGAATTAGCAATCAAGTTTTGCAAAATTTGAATTTGAGTTGTATTTAATTATAGTATTTCAATAATTAATTGTATAAACACATTTATCATCCTTTTTATGATATGTTTAAATATATATCACACATGTTTGGAGAAAAGTCAGCTTCATTTGTCATTTATAATACAATTGATTAAACTATTTTCAGCACATCAAAAATCATGAGTACAAAGCTCAACAACCAGTAAAAGCCATAGAAGATTAAATTGTTCATTCGTTTTTCATACAGGTCTCAACTTCAGTGAGGACTGATGATCTGATCGAGACAAAATTACTATCCAGCTATCCTGTTATCTGTCTTAGGCGCTTGTTTGTGTCATGATCACAAGCTAAGTGACTTGAAATTACTTTTTTTTGTCAACAACCTTCATTACAATTTTGACAATGTTATCAAAAACCTTAGTTGATGTGATGAATTTCAAACGAAAACTGTAGAGATTCAATGAGAATGATAAGTCAGAAACAAAACGACAATTCAAAATACAACATAAAGATGTTTCCAAATATCTTAACCTGAAAAAATACCCATGCTTAGGGTGTTGAGAAAACATAAGTTTGTACAGAGAACCCGGCTTGCTGTTCGTTTCACATGAAACCACTAGTCACTGGTAAACTTCAGAACCTCTATTGATTTATGCTAAATTCTCTTTTGAAATGCACTGACATTTACATATGTATGACTAGATTATTCGAAATATATCACACAGATACATTACATTTTTCAAATCAACTTAGTCTTGGAGATTTTCCTTTGTTATCAGTTAAACTAAATAAAATTATCTTTCAGATCATTTTGGTTTTTCTTGTTAAAAGTGATACTCACTCTTGATATCACAGATTTTAGCTTAACACTTAATCACTTTGTTCTGTTGTTAAAAATTTATTTGGACAAATGAAAACAGACATTTGAATTAGGATCGAAATCAATTTTAATATACGCTATAACGAGAAATTTTTATCAATCCATAAATTATTGAATTTCTAAAACTTCCTAAAGATATTTTTTAAAAAAAAACTGTTTTGAATAAATTTTAATCTTTGTACACTAAGTGATGATACAAGTACATTGTTATTATATAATCTGCATTGATAAATCCCTGATTTACTTGTCATAGTGTATCAATTTTTTCTGGCATCTAAATGATGGAAAATTATAATCCATCTATATGTAAATGAAATTTTTGCAAATCTTAATAAACCTCTTTGATTACATACTCTGAAGCATGAATAACCAACTGTTATTACAACATTTTGAATTGATAGTTTACTGTAAAAAAAAAGTTACCATTTCTACTTTCTTATTTTTCTATCTGAAATTTTTTCTGTTAATCATTTATCAATGGTCTATTTTTCAAATGTCTGCCTACTCCCTTAAAGATAGTTTGAATTGTCTTGATGTTACATTTTTATTAATGAAATCACTTAGAGTAGCAATATTTATTGCATTTGTTAAATGAATATTCTAAAGTATAGTGTTGAAGATATTCCTTAGATTTCAGTGACAACACAATAATTCATTTATCTATCCGAACATATGCATATCGATCGATTCCAGTTGATGAAAACTTCCAAGAAAGAAAATATATCAAGAAATGTAAATCAAGCTTCTATTTTATGTTTACTTACACTCTAATATGAAATTGTTATTCTTCTTTAATCATTCATTTTGAAATATTATCCTGTCATTATTTACGTAAAACAATATTTCTTATTTTTAATCAAAACGAAACATCAGCGAAGCGATATTCATTCATCTGGGGGTTAGTTTACGGCGAAAAAATCAAATTGACAAATGAGAATTTTCTTTTATTTTTTTTCCTGTTCCTTATCTCATTTTTATCTGGTACTTGGAACAAATAAATCAACAGAAGTTAAAACATTTTGCACAAAATGTTCCTCTATTGTTTTTCTCTATGTTATTTACTCCGCCAGTAGAACCTTAGGGGCTACTGCCGGTCCCAAGCCCGGATAAAGGAGGAGGGTTGGACATGGCGTTGGCGACCCCATTCCGTTGAAATCTCACTTGCCAAAAAAACGCTAACCAGAAAAAATAATTCAAACCATTTTAACTCTGCCCTGGGAGTTGGAAGAACAATTATGACGTCTCGTGATGAAAGCCGAGTTCCCTCGGAAGTCACGGGGCTGATGCCTCTTCTGACAACCAGAGCAACCATTTTTTTAGGTACATGGAACGTTCGTACATTGTGGGATAATGGAAGACTATTTCAAGTTGCGGCAGAAATGAAACGATACAACCTCGAGGTGCTTGGAATCAGTGGAACGCATTGGACACAGGTAGGACAACTGAGACTTGCTTCAGGGGAACTGCTGTTATACTCTGGTCACGAAGATAAAAATGCTTCACATACACAAGGAGTTGCACTGATGCTGTCCAAACATGCACAAAAGGCACTAATAGGATGGGAATCTCATGGACCCAGGATCAATAAAGCATCCTTCAAAACAAAGAAAGAGGACATGACGATGAACGTCGTCCATTGTTATGCACCTACCAATGACTACAATGACGACGTTAAAGAGCAATTCTACGAAAGGCTGCAGTCAATCGTCGAGAAATGTTCACCAAAGAATTTGGAGATTCTTATGGGAGACCTGAATGCCAAGGTTGGAATGGACAAGACTGGATATGAAGACATCATGGGACGACATGGACTGGGAGAAAGGGACGAAAATGGTGAGAGATTTGCGAACCTATGTGCCTTCAACAAACTGGTCATCGGTGGTACAATATTCCCGCACAAACGCATACACAAAGCTACATGGATTTCACCGGATCACACTACTCAAAACCAGATTGATCATATCTGTATCAACAAAACGTTCATAAGGACTATGGAGGATGTGAGAACCAGTAGAGGAGCTGACATAGCCTCAGATCACCATTTGCTGATCGCCAAAATGAAACTGAAACTAAAGAATCACTGGACAACGGGGCAGACAACATCACAGAAGTTTAATACGGCCTTTCTTCGGGATACTGTAAAGCTCAACGAATTCAAGATAGCCCTCTCCAATAGGTTCCAGGCCTTTCAGGATCTACACAATGGAGTGGACGCAACATTGGAGAACAATTGGAAAGGGATCAAGAAAGCAATCACTTCAACATGTCAGGAGGTCCTTGGTCGCAAGAAGCACCATCACAAAGAATGGATCTCTGTTGGTACTCTTGAAAAAATTCAAGAAAGAGGAACATGCAGGCAGCAGTGAATGTCAGCCGAACAAGAGCAGAGAAAGTTAAGGCGCAAGCGGAGTATACAGAAGCAAACAGGGAAGTGAAGAAGAGCATCAGAGCTGACAAACGAAAATATGTGGAAGATCTAGCAATGACGGCGGAAAAGGC